ACATGGAGGACTTGGGAAGGGAGGCAGGAATGTCACTGCCTTCCCTTCTCCCCACCACCACCACAGGGATTAACTGTCCATTCAAATAACACACACAGCATTATGCATTTGGTAGGAGAAAAGGCATAAAAATTCACTCCAAACAGCCCACAGAGAAAATGCATCCATGGTTAAGCAGGGAAAAAAATTCCTTCTCTTTGCATTTATCAGCAACATCAGCACATGAAACAAAACCTAAAACATTTAATTGAAGTAGCATTACCTTTGGGAAGTCATCCAGCCCAATCAAGCAAACTGACCATCACCACGAGTCCTACAAGGCTAAGCAAGGAAGGAGCCCCCAGGAAAGTAAGGAAAAGCTTCCCTTTAATTATGTTTCTATAACTGCTTTGAAGAGAGAAACCCACAGTAAATAAATGGTCCCATTTTCCTTCTCCCCCAAGCAGCTGCAAAGTGAACAGGTATTATTGCACCTGGAATCACGGAGTGCAGCTTGGAGTGATGATGCAGTGAAATGCTGACAGCAAAGTACACACCTTGGCATTGATATATGGGTCAAAGGGGCCGTACTTTTTGAGTTCTTTGATCTCAAGAGCATTCTACAAAAAGGAAGAGGAAAAAGAAAAAAATGTGATAATGAAATGGGTGAGATACAGCAACAAAGCAATGGGTGACTCCAAGGGGTGGAACACCAGAACACAGCATCTTGTTCCAGTCAGAGCCACGACCAGCAAAAGCCATTCCAGCTGGGATTGCTGTAACCTGGACCCCTGTGCAGTGCATGGACAAGGCTCCAAGTACAGGCAGCACAGGCTCCTCAGCTGACTTCTCTCATTTAACAAGGTTCCTACTAAATAGACATTAATGAAACATTACCTGGAAGGATCACACTAAGCTTTGGGTCTTTTGCAAAGGTCTCCTCTCTATCTGCCCTACTCAGAGCAGAACATTTACACTTCAGGGCCCTCAGGCAACTCTTATCAGATTGATTGTGAAAGGCTACCTGAACTCAAACCTCTGTAACCTGACCGAGTGCCTGCAGCTGTGCCTGGAGACGTGATTAACCACAGCCCCAAGCTGGAAAACTACCACCAGAGACATTAAAACACACATTCCTCATTATTCCTGCCTGACTGAGGAGTGTAGGAAATGAGATTTTTCATTCCTGCTGCTTTAGCAGCATTTAGGCCTGGGGCAGCCTGGTGCATCGAGCTACCTGTCCTAGGAAGCTGCAGTGTGGCACTTGGGTCCCCATAAAGTGCAGCTGGAAGCAGGACTGGGACTCTTAAACCTGACTATGAAGGGAGTTTGCTCTCCTCAGCTTCTGAAAAAGTGCACACATAGAGCAAACAAGCAGCAGGGACTCCCAGTTCCCAGCTGCTCACCCTGACTGTGACAATTTGCTGAACTCAAGCCACGGGTGCCTGACCTACCTGGGAATTACCTTCGGAATGAATGGTCAGGTTTAGCCTTGTGCTACTAAGGCAGGCAAACCTATTTTGGTTTACTCCTCTCCTCCTGATGCACACCTGAGTGGGCTGGGAGCTGATTCACAGGGATATCAGATGTTCCTGCCTTAGGGACAGGACAACCAGGGCCCATTGCATCTTCAAGCCCCTGATTTAGGCCTGTGACTGTTTGCCAGGCTCACCCAGCGACAAGGTCAGTGACCCTGCTCAGCTGGCCTCAGAAAACGAGTTCCCTTAAACAAAACCATGAAACAAGAGAAGTATTTGGGTCTTCCAGCAGTAGCATTCTAGAGGTTCTCTGGAACTGTAAGGTCCCTCTGATGTGCACGGGACAGTTTCAGGGGAGCCAGTCCTCTGGAGTGGACAGAGCTATCTCACACCCCTCATTCCCTCTGCACCCCAGACCAAAACTATCAGCTTGACAAATGGAAGAAATCCAAGAGGCTTTTTTTCTTGCCCGATTGAGAAAACAATTCTTTAAGATTAAGCTAAGGATTTATCTGGGGGCAAGTAGGGTTAAAATTATCTTAGAACTTACAAATTAGTGAACTGGAGCAAGTGCCAGAGACAAGCCAGGAGAGCAGCTAAGAGAGCACGGCCAAACAGAGACTAAACAAAGTTGCCTTGATTAGTTCCCAAAGGAGGGAGCCAATGGATCTTCTGCAGAACTAGAAACCTGCTCAGCTATCCAGCAACTGAAAAGAAAACTATGGGTTAGTTTTAGAAGCCCAGAAGCAGGAGAACACTTCCTAGGTGTTGAGAAGTTCTCATATTTATGTGTCTGTCTATAAAACTTAAATACCTTTCTCATCCTACCACTAACTCAGAACTGAAGGTATTGCTTTAGGCAGTGCCCCTCTTATCCCACCAGCAAACAGGACCTTATAACCATTGCTGCTGGTTTGGGAAGGGTCAGGAGTCAGCTGAAGGAGCCTCTCTCCATGCAAGGGCAGTGATTCAATGGTACATCAGAGAAAACCAGGCAGACCTGCTCATTCACTTTGGTGTGCGAAGGGCCTTGGTGGATGAGGAGCTTCACTATGTCGGCGTCTCCCTTCCAGGCTGCCAGGTGCAGGGGGTAGCAGCCCTTGCAGTCTGCCACATTGGTGAGGGCGTCGTTCCTCAGCAGAACTTCCACAACGTCCCTGCAGGAGAAGGGAACTTGAGTCTAAGACACTCAGTTCTTGTTTCACAGCTTACATTCTGTATTGCATGAAAAGTGAGTCTGAACAGAATATTTGAGATCCTCCTGAAATATGATTTTAAAGTGTTCCTATTAAATGCCACCCAAAAAAACAAAAAAAAAGAGAAATAAATATTGATGAGATGAGCTCAGAAAAGATCCACGTTGCCTCCATGCTAATGGAGCTGAACAGGGGCTGAAGTCAGCCACAAGCCTCTGCTGCAAAGTGAATTGCATCAGCACAGTGAAGGTGAATAAAGATTTTAACTCTATTCCATTTCTCAATACCTTCAGCAGCAATGAATAACACGAGATCCACCACGGTAAAGACTGGACTTACTTCCAAATGTGATGTGCACACAAGGCAACTCTAAGTGGTGCAGGCCCAGTCCACCCTGGACACCAGACAGACTGCAGGGACTGTCACAGGGAGTCCCTTTCACATGGTGTTACAGCTTATCCAAATTGCTTTGAAATAAAAGGGTGGTTGGTTGAAAACCTCAATGTTTTGCCAAATATTTCAAGGTGTAAGATCACATTGTGCAGCAGCCAAAGCAGTGCATTCTCCATTTCCCCTGAAGATGGAGTAGTGCTGCAGCACCAGCACTCACCAGCGCCATGGAAGTGACAAGTGAATGAACGACACAGAACCGTGGCCTGGAAAGCACAAAACATCCATCCCCCGTGAGCAAAGATGGGAGCAGGACTCACTTGTGGCCGTTGAGAGCAGCGTGGTGCAGTGGGGTGTATCCAGTGCTGTCAACGCAGTTCACATTGGGCCCTCTCCAGATGCTGCAATACAGAAAATGGACATGGAACACTTAGGCAAACACCAAGCAGGGACAGGGCAAGGACAGGGTCAGCAGAGCTCTCACACTACAGTGGGTATCTGGGCAGCTGTGGTCAGGAGCAGTCACGTGGAGCACAGAGTCGAGCTGAGGGGTCAGTGCCGCAGCACACACCGGCACAGGGACTCACTCCTCTGCTTTACCAGACCCTCCTGGTTTCCAGTCAGAGCTCCCACTCCCACACATCCTTCAGCCATACTTGTGCTTGCCAAAAAGCATCTTCAGAGGAACATGTGCCTATTAGAGTGAACCACAAGAGACCACAAACCATCGATGCACTGCTAATTCACACCCCGCTGAAGAATTCCAGTGGCTCTGGGAAACTCTCTTCCCTCCATGGCAAGAGTCACAAGCGGGGGCTGTAAGTCAAAGACTGTGGGATATAGAGCCTGCTCTTGGTCAGCAGTGTGATTCCACACTAACTTCTCACTGTCCCAAAATCACTTCCATCTGTCAGCTGCTGGCAGTCTGTACAAAAGAGTAGGTGGTCTCCCAGCACTTCTGAGAGCATTCACTTCCCTCCCTTGTTCAAAAGTCAAGCACCACGGATTTAAGAATTAACCCTGCCGAGAATTACTCTTCCCCCCACCCCTGGAAGGTGTCCTGTTCACATCAGTGCAGAACAGTGTGAGTGAGGGGCTGGTGCTGCTCCTGACCTTGCTGTGAAAGGAGTGTGGTGTCTGCTGCCCCTCACCAGTGCCACCACCCTCTCCCAGAACAGGTAATGGAACTCAAACCATGCTCTTACAGGTAAACTGGAACTGCTCACCTTTCCTGATGAGGGCCCTCACCAGCACAACCCACCACCCATGTGCCAGTGTGCTTTACACTTCATCCTTCCAGGAACCCTTCCAGTGTTTATCACAAGCCCTGGCAATCTCCCTTGTGCCAACATAGTACTTTTTCCTGCACTGTCTTCTTTAGGGGTAAAACTTAATAGCCTTCAATTTCCAATTGAACTGGGTTCAAACCTATTAGAAGCAGACCTTTCCTGAGCAGTCCACTGTCTCCCCAGCACACAATCACTACGACCCATGTGGCTCAGAGGCTTCCTGCAATACCCATCATCACTGGGGGGCTGCTAGCCAGGAACACCTTGGTGCTACAGTGAGCAAAACCAGCAGGAAAGGCACCAAACCAGTGGGAATCTTGTGCAGACCGAGTGGAAATTCAGAAGGGAACGAAGCAACAGACTCACTCTAGAGCGTGTTCCATGGGAAATGGAAAGTCTGTCCCTGTTCCCTCTGAGTGACTCCTGACCCGCAGAGCATTATAAAAGGCTTTGCAGTCCTGAGATGGACATCAGCTCTGCTAGAGGAGAGGCAGCTAAGGGGAACCTTCATCCAAGAGGACAGGCAAGTGAGCCACAAAATCCAATTTGCAAAGGATCAGAGGCTTATCCCGAGGCATCCCGCACACCATCCCGCGCTCCGGGAGCAAACACAAGCCAACACACGCATGCAGTGCACCTCCAACACCAACAACAGGGGGTGCAGGACGATGGATGGCTTAAACCACGGCCAGAAGGTCAGTGAGACACCAGAGTGAGTGCAGGAGTGCCCTGCCCCATCCAGCTGTGCTGGCCTGAAGCACAAAGGGGACTGAGTAGTGCTCAGCTCCGGTTTGTTCCTGGCAGTGGGATCCTGCACTGTGGTTGCCCAAATAATTTATTGTTGGATTTAAAGTGGCAATTAATGGTTAGAACTCAAGCCAGAAAGCCTCGTGTGCCATCTGGAGCACTTCTAACACTGCACCTGCACTCCTTTGCTCGTCCATAACCTGGGCAGTGCCAGAGTCCCATGGTTTTACACATTAAACCAAGCTGTGTTTGGATGCTGAGCTCAAACTACTTCAGGGTGAACACAGGAAAAACCAGCAGCATTTAACACCAGCTTTTCTTTCAGCTGAAGTTATGAACCAAGGAAAACCAGGGTCAGTGGTGCAGTGGGCATAAAATGAGCCCTGTGCCCAAAGTGACCTACCCAGCAGGCCTGCAGACAGAGCCAGGACATCCGTCCCCATGGGAAGACATGCGTGTCCCCACGATAAAACACTTCCATAAACTTCCTTAGAAATCTTCAGGTCAATGCTTTAGAGTTAAATGCCAAGTTTACTAAAGGAGCTCAGAGAAGGAGGAAAGCTGGAGCCCAGGGGGGAGCTGGCCCAGCAGTGAGTGCTGGGTGCTGCAGAAACCAACTGCCAAGATATAAAAATATTTTAAAAAAATCTGCTGTGTCCTCTCCTACCCTTTGACCTTTTATTCCTGCAAATAAAGAAAGCTTTTATCAAAGAAAGGTCAAATCACCCAGAAGATCAGACTGGAAGGATCCAAGAGGAGAACTATTTATATGTGCAGTCAAGTACATCAGTCTCTCCCCTCCTCTTCCTCTCCAGCTCTGCCAGGAAGGCCAGAGTTCTCCTAAGGTATGGAAACAGAGAGCTGAGAGAAGAAGGTCATTCACACATCCCAGCTATCCACATCCATACAACTGCTGGATTCCTGCAGTGAAGGACCCTCACTTGGTATTTCCTGCTTACAGAGGGGAACACAAACAATCAAACACTTTGGGCAAGGCCTCAGAGTCAGAGAGCTGCTTATGTTTTCCTGAAGGGTGAGGAAGCCACTGCTGTTTCCACCCTGCCAATGGGAAGGGTCCAGCATGGTGGGACTCCCAATGGAGCAGGAACCCAACTCCCTGCTTGCCTCAACCACCGGATAATGCAACAGCCTTTCCAAAAATAAACAGCTGATGCAAGGCTGGAGAAGATTAAAGCAGAGTATTGCTGGGGCAAGGGAGAACGTGGCTGGATCACAAGTAATACTGTCTCAGCCCCTCTTGGCAGGTTTTGGGAAAGCCCAGGGAAAGCAGCCAGTCAGATTCCAGCTATTGGCTGCAAAGGAAGCCAAAGCTTCTGCACTCCTCAACTTCTTGGTCCAGATTTTCATTTGCTATAAGAAAAGCAGGTGGATTTCCCTCAAAGTTAAAGGATCATGAGCTCAAATACAGGATGCCAGAATGGATGGGGAAAAACAGGGACCTTAATATAGGCAGGGAATGTGGAAGTGACCCAGCTGACATTGCACAACACCACAGCCAGTGCAAGACCTACCCGAGGCACCCGGCGGTGAAGGCAGAGCCACTGACCAGGGACTCCAGTGAAAACCCTCAGGTTCAGTCCCACTTTGACTGAAGGCAGAGCCATGCCTGGCCCTCTGCACAGAACCAGACCCCAAGCTCCCACTTTATCAGCTCATTCTGAGTTAAACAGTTCTGAACAACGATCGCCAACAGCTCCAGCCTCGTTGCCCAACACCTACAGACAATTCAGCCAGCATAAGGTCAACAGTGCCCTGTGAGAAACAAGCACTTCCACCAGTGGAGACACACCATGCAGCAACCAACCCTCTGATGGCCAAATTGTCCCTTCTGCCATGGAATGGAGCAGAGTCACTCCTCATGTGCTGCGGGTGGCCAGGAGCAGGAAACCTGCACGGGTCTGCAAAGCCACTGCAGCCTGTGAAGGATCAGTTCAGGAGCTGAGAGGCAGAAGGTGAGCTCATCTGTTTCCCTCAGAACCAGCCTGCCATCTCCTACCCCTCATTTCCAGAGGGAGACTGTTCAGGTTGGTGCAGACTACAACAATCATACATTTAACCCTGGGCTTGCAGCTCACGCTAGAAAGGAACCCGACAGGGTTGGCATCACTAATAGAAACTCGTCCATCCAAGCTAAAAACTCCCCCAGGAAGAGGGCAGCCCTAGCCTTACAGATGGCTCCTGGCAGTGGAAATGCATTTATTTAATGTATGGTGGGAGGTGGCAGTGGGCTCTGTCACCCGCATTATGCAGTGGGGACAGAAAGGCCAGGTCAGGCGTGCAGGGTGTGCTACATCAGAGAACCCCTCTGAGCCAGAGCAAAGAAAGAGCTGCAGGACAGGAAAAATCCAGGTCTGGTTTGAGTGCATGTGCTGCCCTTTATTCTTAAAAGCATTACAGGCACTCTGCAATCCACTCCCATTAGAGAGCATTTGCAGCCGATGACAGGCCAGGGAACAGTCCCACACAACACAGGCTCATCACCAGGCCATGGCCAAACGAGCTTTGCTGGGAGAAGCGTAAAAAGTGTCAGTAGTGGAGTCAGGGAAAGCCAAGTCTCTGGGGAGGGGTCCAGGAGCTCTGGGGTGTGATGTGTGCAGGAGCATCCTCCTCTCCACACCCCGTCCAAGGGCAGCATGATGGTAAGAGAAGAGCAGGGAAAATGGGAAGGCAGCCACCCAACATGCAGATGGAAGGTTTGACAGGAAGCCCTGAAGCTGCCCTTCAAAGTAGGAAAGTGACCCCTAAGAGAGGACAGATTTGACAACATTTACCAAATGTTCACAAACCTCTCACTGAGGTTTACTAAATGCCAATTTTGCAGCCCATTCTCCTCTTTTGCATCTGACTAGATGGGGTTTGGAGGAGTAAGAGCAAAAGGAATCAAAACATTCGTGCAAAAATTCAATGAACTGAGCAATGTTATGAATGTGATAAACCAGCCTGGAGCTGGCAACATCCCAGATCTGCAAACAGGAATCAGAGCACTGCTCAGGGAAGCATTCCCTGCTCTCTGTTCGCAGCTCAGCTCTGCTCCACAGCACTGGAGAAGATGCCACTAACTGCAAGAAAATACAATACAAAAGAACTAGGTGCAGAGAAAATTAGCAGGACATGTGTAGATGGTGCAGACTTTCCCTTGGCCTTCCCTCCATCCAGCACTCCCAGAGAAACAGAGGAAGCTGCCTGGGCAGCCACAAATTCCTGATCAAAGCCACCAAGCAGCCGATGCTGCAGCACCGAGCTGATTACAGCTGGCAGCCTTGTACTGGGCTTTCCCTCCCCCGTCTCCTTTGTGAGATGATTTAACAAGCTGCAGAATCCCACGGGACATGTCAGTTAGCCAACAGCAATGGAGCATCGTGTCTGGAGTCATACATGTCCATCTGCACCGTTCCCTTCTGACAGGCACAAAGCTCTGAGCTTGGAGTAAAAATGTCACCAAAAGGAATTTACCCAGAAAAAAAAATCATGGCAGAGCATATTCCCTCCCTGCCCAGGAATGGATGTGCCACTTATGTGTTTTGGGATGGCAGGAAACGTGCCTCTGTGCTCACTGTCTGCTCTGCACAACGGCCACGTGGGCACTGTCAGACAACACCAATGGGATCAGAACAGCTCAAAGTTACTGTTTGTTTCCAGCGCTCTGTTTCCCAGAACAGAGGTCTGATCCAAAATTTGGGATTTCTAGCAGGAACCTTGCACCTGGAAGGGCATAGGGAAGGTGGACACTATTTAAACACAGACACCCTCCCCCTGGTGCAGGCTCAGACCTGCTCTGTACAGAAACAATAAACCCACGCCCATGTTCTCTCCATCTCAGTGCCAACAGGCTGCTCGAGGTGGCCACGTGCTGCTGCTCCCTGGGCCACCGTGGCTCCCTTTGTGTCACCCCAAACCCACTCCCGTCCCTTCAGCCTGGCTGCTGCCCAGCCCTGATGCCTGGAATGCTGAACTGCAGCGTGTCTGACCTGGGGTGGATGAGAAGCAGGTAAATAGGCCAAGTCAAGCAGAGCCAGAGAAGGAGACATTCAGGGACTGAATTACCCCTTCCCTACAGCAATTAAAAAGCAAATGCAATTATTTTGTAACAGCAACTGCATCCAGAGTGCACTTTTGCCTTAGGGAGACTGAAACCAGTGAGATGGAGACTCGCACGACATCCCCTTTGCCTTGTGCCATTGCTCAGATCAGCGACACAAGGGCTCTGAATCGGTGCTGGCACCACAGTGCCCACTGTTCCCACAGAGGGACCACGCACATGGGGACATTCCCACATCTCAGGAGGGACCCCCAGGCACTGGCCCTCACATCACACAGGCTGTGAAACACTGTTGTGAAACACTGCTGCGTTGGAGTAAAAGGAAATTAGTTGCTCTGATACTGAACACCAGAACAATGGGATGGGACACGAGGCCCTCGAGGAAGGGGACACGGGAGTGGAGAATTCAGAGCCACAACAAAGCTTCCACTGAAGCGTTTTGAGCAGACTTTGCCCTTGAACGCAGCCCACACCAGCAGCCCAGCAGCTCACCCACATGGCTCCATTTAAGCCTGTATCAAATCCCAGCTCCAGCTTAACCAGGAGTCCCTGAGGGCTAAAGAAAGACACAGCAAGGAGAGATTAACTGGCAACAGTGTGGGACGCAAACAAGGCACAGACATACCACCGACTCCAGAGACATTCCTTCTTGATGAGCTTTTTAATTGGGTGCCCAAAGAGCAAGTGACAGGGAAAGGAGAGCAAAGACAGCGAGGGAAGGAGGTAAAACAGAAGTTTTACACCCGCCACGGTGGCTCCAGTGGGAGCACAGGAGACACACCTGAGCAGTCAAAGAGCTCTGTGATCACTGTGATCAGCCCCTGCTCCTTCCTGGTATGTGCCATGCAAGCAGGGAAAGCATCAACTTACACACCAGTTCCTGAGAAAGCTCAGGAAAAGAAAGA